TTGAATGTCATGTAGGATGCAGTACCTACCACCTGCAGCTGCACAGAGACACCCCGAGGTTCAATGGCACTATAAAAACCATCACGAACTGGAAGCTGAGATTCTTCTTAATATGGACTTTTACATAACTGCTGAAGGGCTGAGGAGTCTGGAACTCCAAATCTCTCCTGTGCTCCCCAGCACACAAACCCACAACTCAAAGGTGACCATATGTCATTTCAAACCTCTCCTTCCTGCAAGATTCAGAGTCCCTGAAGCCCTGTTTGTCCCCAGGAGTGCTGGCAAACACCTGGCTCATGGTACTGATGGAGCAACACACAAGCCACCAACACCCCCCCAGTCTGCTCTACACAAAACCATGGCACTGCTGAATGTTTTCCTGAATACCCAGAGCATGGTGAGGTTGGAAATACCACTCATTTCTAGTTCCAGCCTTCCTAATGTGTGCTTTGCACTGCTCCTCATGCCAGTCCCTGGGGAGGGAGCCCAGAGCAGGGCCGCTCATGCGAGAGGGATGCAAATGGGCTCAGGGCTGACCTGCAGGTCACACTCAGCTCTGCCTGCTCTGCCAGCTCCCAGAGCCACAGCAGGTGCTGAAAAGGCTGCAGTGCTGCAGCCAGGGGTGCAGGGACCCTGCCTGGGCACTCCTCACACAGACAGATGGGGCTGCATCACAGCACTGCCATATTCTGAAGCTCAGTCCCTGTTTCCCCCTCAAATGAGCAAGCCAGTTTTAAATTATTTGAACAACAGCACACAGGGTTTTTCAGAACTTACAAAAAACATTTATAAATTGCTAAATATATTAAAATTTAAAAAAACCCAACTCCATAAAGACTTCAGAGCACTGCTAAGTAGAGCAATAGAATAGGTTTATCAAGATATAAAGCAGCCCTCCCCAAAATATATGGCTCAGACATACCCTGCCAGCAGAAATACTCCATGTTTAAGATGAGGGAAGAGAGATTCAATAAGGATTTGTTTTCCTGGCAGCCCTCCATACGTGCACATAAACCTCTTGTAGCACCACTCTGATATTTAAACTAATTAGCACCACAAAAGCCTCAGGACTGTGGTTTTCTCCCAGCCTGTTCCCAGGGACTAAGGGACTCCAAAACCTGGCTGTGATCACATCCCACTCACATGCCAGGATGCTGCAGCCCAGGAGCCCCTACACACCCCCCTTCCTGCCCAAGTACACAGGAACACAGGGCAGGACACCTGGCAAAGGGAAAAATATCCCCCTCTGCCCAAACTGCCCACTCAGCACTATGTGAGAGGATAAAAATAGCAGGCAGGAGAGCTGGCCCTGAATATCAAGCAGCATTCTCACCCAAATCAACTTCCCCTTCACTCTGCTCTCCTGCAGGCTGCACGTTGCCTGAATTTCCTATTCCTCATAAACACAGCCAGTGGGGATTTAGCTCTGGGGAGCTGCAGACTGGCACATCCACCATCATCGCTCTGGCAACCCCCCACCAGGCTCTGGAAAGAGCTCCTGACTTCCAGAGGAGAAAGGACAGGCTGGGGGGTGGGTTTTGTGAATATTCAACACCTCTGCACAGCAGGCCTGCCTATTATTAGTATAGGGGATGTCAAAGAAGCTCCTCTCATGCAAAGTTTCCAGTCTGGCTAATTAACAGTGGCATCCTCCAGCATATAAATTTGGGCTTTAGTCCCTTGTACACAGGGCAGGAAGGGAGGGAAGGAGCAGAGGACAGGAATGGCTGCAGTCATCTTTAAAGGCTGGAAATGAAAACTCTCAGGTAAGACAGAGAGAATTAACACACATTGAGAGGAGACTTCAGGAAGGAAGGGCTGAATCTCCCTTCTTTTAAAAAAAGATTGGATGTGGCACTCAGTGCCATGATTTAGTTGAGGTGTTCTTAGGGCATGGGTTGGACTCAATGATCTTAAAAAGTCTCTTCCAATCTAGGGGTTCTGTGATTCCTCCTGGAGCACATCCCCAGAGCATCAAAGAGCTGAGATGATTTTGACTGGGCAGTTAACAAGAAGCTAAAACTTCTCTCACAAGGGGCAGCAGAGGCCAGTGATTTGGGTCAGGATGGGACTGTCACCCTCTGCTTCTGACATCCAGAGCATCAAACACCTCCCAGCACCGCTGTGGGGCTGCAGAAGGGAACTCACTGCTCCCCTTGCTCCAAGGATCAGGCACATCCCAGCTGGCAGGACCTGCCTGAGGGGAAATCAGAGGCAGGAGAGATGCTGAGGGTCCTGTCAGGGCAGCCTTTCAGGGCACTCTGTGATCTCTGAACAGCAAAGCAGTTCAGGGCACCTTGAGGTCTCCTGCAAGTTGGTCCTGATTGTGCCAAACTGCTCCCATAAAAGCAAAGCTTTAAGTGACCTCAGTGCTAAACCAAAATGAGCTGCACATAAACTGCTTCAACACAGAGTTTTCTCCAGGCTGAAGAGTGTACTCTGGAAAAAAAAATTAAAGATTGAAAATTTTTAGAAGTCTGACCTTATTTATTTTTACTTGGTTCTTAAATTAGGAGAGAAATAAAAAAAATATATTGTATGGCTCCACATGTACTTCAGTGCTTCAGTTTCTTATTCACACCTCCAAAGTGGAACAATAACCTTATCTACTCCATAAAAACCTGCTCCAGCTTGTGCCCAGATTTCAGGCACTCTTTCTTGGAAGGACAAATCCCTGCTTTCTGCACTGCTCTGCCACCTCACTGGTGTCAGCTGTCAATGGAAACACCTGACCAGAGACACCCAGGCCCACAAATCTCACCCCAAATTTATACATCTTGCCAGAGCAGAAACTTTCTGGCCAAGAGGTGATGTGCAGCCCTGTAGATCTTCACTGAGCTTGGGGCAGAGGTGACAGCTGAGTTTTCCAGCACTGCTGTTGTGAGCCACATTTCTGTATCCTGCTCCTGCAGCACTTGCACAGCACCTCTGATTTATAAACCAAAGGTTTCAGAGCTGCCTGCTTACCATGATTTAAAAACAAGCTCAACAGACCTCCTCAAACAAAATTTTCTGCCTCAGGGCGGGTACGGGTCTTTGGCATGGCCATGTCTGAGCCAAACAGCACCCACAGATTTCTGAGCAGCTCACTTCCCTTTCCAGCTCTACATCCTTCCCAGCTATCAGCACAGGAGAAGCAGTTTGTTAGCTAACCTTTCCCAAACTTCAGCAGGGTGCTTGGTTTGCTGAGGTTTCAGTTTTCCACAGCTTCTCTAAGGGTCTCTGATGCAATCTGAGCTCCGTTTGCAATCTGAAACAGGCCTGGCTTTATCAGGATGCTCAGGGCACAGATAATTCAGGAGCAATTTTGTGTCAAAACAGCACCTTGGCTTCCAGGAGGGCCACCAAGACAGCTATGAAAGGCTCCTCTTAAAGGATTAATAAAATTATTAACTAAGGTGTAATAAAGTGATTAATTAGGGACCAAATACATCCCTGCACTGGTCAGTACCACACCCTGAACATGGACACAGCTCATGGATAACACACCTGAGACATTCCAAGGCAGGGCTTGCACACTGCACAACAGGGTATTTCACTGCTCTGCTGCTCTGCAGTCACCTGCCTTTATCCTGGTCCCAAGGACAAACAGCTTTATTGGATATGGATCATTTCATCTTCCAGGAAAACTTTGTTCAAAGCTTTAGATGTTCAGCTTGTCTGATGCCAGAACAGCTTTCCTGAGTTGAAAGGAGCAGTTCATGTCTCAGCAGCGAGGTAGGACCCAAAGGGAAGGAAGAGAAAAAGAAGAGCTGAACTCCTTGTCTATCTCTCCTTTGTACCTCAGCCCACAAAAACTCAGCAAAGAAAACAGAAGTGATGCAAGATGGAATTCCAGAATGTCACAAGCGACCAAAAATGCAGTAGTCCATCCCTGCACGTGTTCCCTGGAAAGCAACACCCAACACAAGGAGGGTGGAGAAGTCAGCATCACTCACTGTCAACTTACTGTGATGGAAAAGCACACACATAGGCCAGGGACCTCCTGGAAATCACATTTCAGGAAGGCAGCTCATCAAATATCAAAGGAGAAGGGAATAAAATAAAGGTCTGGTAAGGAAGGACAGCAGTGGGGTGGGAAAGAGCCACAGAGACACAAGAGGAAGGTCAGTTCCCCTCTCCACTCCAGCAGGGAAATTCCTGCCTCCCAGACCATCCTTTGTTCCTGTGCCCTAGAGGAACAACAAGGGCTGAACCTCTTCTGCCATACCCAGTAGAAAACTCTGTCTGCATCACAGTGCAGGCTGGGAAATCTGTTGGGTTTGGGACAATCCGGATCTGTTGGGCACAGTGAAACCAGACTCATGAGCACTACAAATCCAAAACGAGACCATGAAATAACCAAGGCTTCCAGACTTGAAACAGAGCACAGCAAAAAAAAAAAACCCTCACCCAAGCAAGGAAACATATCAGACAAATGATACCATTTTTGCCATCTTTTCTGAATTTTTCCCAGAGAAAAACACGAACATTCCCAGGCCCCCAACAGTTTTTACTTCCCCCACTAGAAGCATCATTCACAAAAAAAGAAACAAATGGATTGTGCCTATATTTGCAAAACACTTTGGGAAAGAAGCAGTGACATGAATTTGTCACCGAGATGGTGCTGGGAGCAGCACCAAACCCAAAGGACACAGGGCTAAAAAAGGAAGGAGAAAAAATAAACCCATCAAAACCACGGAGCAGATCTGAAGGCGATGTGAAACGTCACAGTTCCCTCCACCTGCAAGGAGCACTGAGCCACAGGCACAGGAGGCCCAGGGACAGTCCAACAGCTTCTGCTCCACATTGAAGGGACACTGATTTGGGGAAAAGACAATGCACCTGAGCTTTTATTGCAACAAAATAATACCAAACCAAAAAAATCCCCGTCTGTGGCTGAAGAACCCGGGGATTGAGGAAGCTGCTAGTCAAGCATATTGTTATAAACACAAAGCCCAATGCAGGAAAATCCCAGCCCTGAAGCAGGCAGAGGCACACAGTTCCACACAGCTCCTTACCCGACTGATCTGCAGCTTCTCAGCTCCAGGCTTGAAGAGGTTCCATCGACGGCCACCGTTCCTGCAGTTCCCGCGCACCTTCAGGGTCTTTGAAGCCTGCTCGTTCTCAGCTGCCAGGAGAAAATCCACGGGAACAAAAAAATAAAAAGGAATGACAAAAGATAAATGCTGTGCTTTAGCTCAGGCTGGGGGCGGAGGCTGTTCTTTTAAATGAAAGAAACAAAATTGTTTGCAAGAGACTCATTCAACCTCTCCTTCAGAAAAAGAGAGCACAGAGTATATTTAGGTGCTTTATTCGGTGCTCTTGGGATACAAGGGAAATAGTGCAGCTTGGATACTACAAAAAGGCAGTGCTGGGAGCCACATCCTGAGGTAGGGTCAGCCCAACTGGGTGTGGAGCCAGGATGCTCTGCCAGGAGCTCCAGGAGCAGGAGACCCTCATCCACCTGCACCAGTGTGCACAGGGCAGCGGAGCCCTGGGTGCCAGCAGTTCCAGCAGCAGCACCTGTAGCAATCCCAGCTGCACGCTCACCGTGCTCCACAGGATGCCAGGCCTTGGAAAAGAAACAGCCCTTCCAATTTAGACACAAAACAGAAATGGGCAAGGCCATAAAAGCTGTTTTCATAAGGAAACTGGGCTGGTTCTCACCCCCAGCATTTCAGGCCAAGCCCTCATGGATGTGGTTCTGCTCTTGCTTTGAGTGATACCACTCACACCAGACCCCAGCCTGCAGATGGCACTACCCAGGCACAAAGCAGCTTGTGAAAAAGAGGTAAATGAGTTCTACTTTTCCAATCAACCAAAATTTTCAGCTCCACATCCTATTTCTCTCTTTTTGGGGTGAAGCTGCCATTATGTATGAGACCAAAGCCTTCCCTCCCACATTTGGCAAGCTTGGATTTTAATCCCTTCTTCCATCAGGTTCTTCACCTCCCCTGGGCTGGAGGAAAGGAAACAGAGCTGAGCACCACTGGTGCCCCCAGAGCAGCTGCAAGCCCAGGTACATGTAATCCAGGCAGTGCACATATGTGGTACATGCATCCCCACAGGTGTTCCCAGAACCTGGAGGCTCCTCATCCCAGTCATGGAGCAAGGATCTACAGAAAACAGCCACGTTCTGGAGTTCTTCCCTAAAAGATGCACAGCTCTCAATTTCTATCTCCTGACATACCTCTCAGCAGGCAGAGGTTTCAGCCTGTGTCAGTCCTGAGAGGTTTGGGACCAGAATATATGGTTCCAGGCTTTGGGAGAGTGGAGACCCCCCAACCAAACAGGAGGGGCTCTGCCCTGCTCAGGCCAGAGCGCAGCAGGGCTGGGATGCTGCTGCAGGCTGGCTGGGCAGCCATCCTGGTTTTCTTCCAGTGCTGTTGGGAGAGAGATTGCACTGAGACCTATTTCCTCAATGCTGATGCAGGCAGGCTGCTGCTATTTTTAGCAGCCCACGTTTCACTTTGGAGACTCTTGGAGAGCCAGGCTGCAGCACGGTGCTGGTTCCAGCAGGAGGAGGCGATGGATGGAGCGGTGTGCAAGCAGAGAATGCTCACTCTGAGGGGCTGTGTGACCCCCCCTGTGCTGGGAACCACTGCACCCCCTCAGCAGAGCCATCAATTAACAGCACAGGCAGCTAATTGGCCTTGTCCTCCCCGGCTCTTCTGAACCCTGATGTGCTGCCACCATCCATCAGCCACCCGGATCCCTGGAGCGCTCCCGAGCGATGCCAGCACAACCTGGCAGCGCTTCCGTGCTCGCCCATCACTAAATCACAGGATCCTTCGTGCCAGCAGTGGCCCTTCAGGAAATCATTTCCCTTCTCTCATTATCAATCTTTTTAATTAGGAGGTACAGAAAATGATGTCATCTATTCAGCCATCAGCCAGTTTACCTGCCAGCACGAGACCCTGCCAGCAAATACATTCCACAGTGCTCTCTCTCGTGTCACAGTGAGCAGAACAAATGCAGAGTGGTCACCCCAGTCTTTGGCTCATGAGACTCCCTCCTTCATCATGAAAAGTACCCAAGCACAAGAGGAAAAAACCCCTCACTTCTTGTGTTTCCAAACATCAGACTTGAGTTGTGATCTCAGTATCCATCATCACTCACCACCTCCAAATGGTGAGTACTCAGTGAGTACTCACCACAGAGGATTCTTAGAGAACAGGAATTCAAGAGAAAACCACCAAATACAAACTCACACAGCAGCTGCTGAACAGCTTTTACATATCACGTGCCAACCCCTGTTCATCCTCTCATAACCAGATTATGGGGACTGTGTTCAGAGACATTAGAGAGAGAAAACAGCCTTATTTCATAAACACACTGTACACAAGAAGATCCTATTAGCCAGCAAGAAACTCCTCAGCATGCGGCTCTAGGAGCTCCCTCACCTGGCGTCAGGGATGTAACCAGCACGGATCCAAACCACATTCCTGACTTTTCCACCCTGCTGCCCTTGGCTGGCTCTGCAGCATGGGTGACACCTCAATAGCAAAGCTGGGAGAGAAGAAGCACTCACAACAGCTCTGCAGCATGGGTGACACCTAAATAGCAAAGCTGGGAGAGAAGAGGCACTCACAACAGCTCTGCAGCATGGGTGACACCTAAATAGCAAAACTGGGAGAGAAGAGGCACTTACCATTGTGGCAAGCACATTCTCTCACTCTCAGGATTTTTCATAGAGGTGCACAGAGAAAAAATGAAAGAGAAAACAATTTCTATTTCTGCTCCTTGTTTTTCCTGTGTGGAATGTGTTTGGAGAATTGTTTACCTGGAGTGAGTGCTTGATTGGATTCTGGTGAGGATTGTTTGAGCCTGATGGCCAACCCACCTGGGGCTGGACTCTCAAGAGAGGGTCATGAGTTGTGTTAGAGTCAGAGAAAGTCATATGTAGTTTTAATATCTTCCTTTTTATATAGTATATTAATGTATTTTAGCATAGTTATAATAAAGAAATCATTCAGCCTTCTGAATCGAGTCAAACATCATCATTTCTTCCCATTTGGTTCACCTGCATTTACAATACACCACGGCTCTGCAGCATGGGTGACACCCAGAAAAGCCAAGAGAGAAGAGGCACTCACAACAGCTCTGCAGCATGGGTGACACCCAGAAAAGCCAAGAGAGAAGAGGCACTCACCATGGCTCTGCAGCATGGGTGACACCCAGAAAAGCCAAGAGAGAAGAGGCATTCACCACGGCTCTGCAGCATGGGTGACACCCAGAAAAGCCAAGAGAGAAGAGGACTCACCACGTCTGCGGAGCAGGTGCTGCATGCGCCCCCCCAGCTGGTCCAGCCCCATGGGGGTGCTCTGCGAGAGGGGCTCGGAGCGGCAGCGCTCCACCAGCGCCTTGAAGGGCTCTGCCTGCGGGCACGGCTGCGCAGGGCGAGACGTCGGCTGCCAAGAGAAGGGGCACAGAAGAATTTTACCAACAGCACTTAAATCTCAGGCAAAGCAAGCGCAGCACACACAATAACACACAGAATTGTCGCAGCACAGCTCGCTGCAATCGGCACCCCCTGCGTTTCTGACTGCGAGGTCAGGACCTGCTGGCCCTGGTGTGCAGCTCCTCAGACCCTGTACAGCTTTGAGCCCAACACTTCCAGTGGCACTGAGTGTCCCAGGAACTTCTGGGAGTGACCCTGACAGAGACCTGCTGCTGTCCTGCATTTTGGAGGTGTCCTGGCTGGTAAGATAAGCATGTATTCTATTTGCCATCTGTTGGAGGTTGGGCAGTTTTCTTATCTCTTCCAAGAACAATGTCTCCCTCCGGGGAGAGATCTTCTGTTAATGGGCCATTGAACGACTCACTGCATGACTGGTAAAGTTCCATCATCCCATTGTGAGATGCTCCACCCAGAGGGAGGAGCCAGGCAGCCCTACCTGCAAAAAAATCAGCATTTTTTGAGACACTGGCAGCTACTTCGCTGGATTCCCAGAGGAGCAGCTTCTTACCATCTGGATCCCCAGAGGAAGACCAGGCTCATCTACTCCATCACCAGACCTTCAGAGAAAACTCCACCCTTCTACAGATCACCACTTCAGCAGCATTTCATCTGCCACTCCAGGAGGAGCAGCCACCATTTAACTGGACTATTACCAACACCCTGACTCCTCAGGGCGTCAGGTTTCTGACTCTATCACTATCTGTTTTTGTACTAGTTACATTTTTTTATTTAGTTTTTTTTCCAAGTAAAGAACTGTTATTCCCGTTCCCATATCTTTGCCTGAGAGACGTTTAATTTTGAAATTGTGGTAATTCGGAGGGAGGGGGTTTACCTTTTCCATTTCACAGGAGGCTCTTGCCTTCCTTCACAGATTCCTGTCTTTTCAAACCAAGACAGGGGTGAGGCTACTCTCCCATTCCCAAGTCCCAGAATTAACTGATGCTGAGGAGCCCATACCAGCAAGGGCTGGCTGCTTCCAAGGGACAGCAAAGAGCAGCCCAAGGGGTTGGCAGCTCACTGATGACAACAGCAGCTCACCATGTCCTTGCATCTATAGACTACAAAATACCTACTTGAATAAAACAGTTGCAATTGATTGAAGCACCCATGAAATGGTCAAATACCTCAGTTATACTTTAATTCTTGGTAACACTAATCCAAAGAATTGGCATTTACAGCTAAGTGGAGAAAAATGTTGGTGTTTTCCTCACTCCAACTTTTATTACTCTCTTCCAGGAGGAAAAGTTCCTGAAAATGACAATTGTAGAGTGACATTTTGCAGAATGGAATGTTCTTTTTAAAAGCATCACAATTCAAACTCCTACTTTTCATTTTATTCTCTGTGACATGTGACACCATGGAAGTCTTGAGCATAATCTTAGAGTCAAGAAATCAGAAGAAGACTCATTTGACAAAGGTCAAGGGAAGCAAGCAGGAGGTGTTCCTCTCTAAGAGGTTTCTAGGCTCAATCAGACACACATCTGTCACACTTCCAGGAGCCTGCTAATTACTGGGTGCCTGGGATGGTTTGGTGGATCCATCCTCAGGACTCCAGCAGCTCATTTCCACTGATGTGCTGTTATTTTCATTTACAGATGACGAACAAAGCAGACAGGCTGTTATTACCACAAAAGAAAGCTGTGGATGAATTAAGGCTCCATCTCCCAGCATCAGCATCATATCCAGTGAGCCAGCACATTTCTCTTGGCTGGAAAACAGCTAGGAGGAGGCAAAAGCCAAAGAAAACCTGCCATCCAGGGAATTTTCAACAGAGAGTCCCTTCAGCATAAGGCCAGCAATGCCCAGATGCGCCCCTTCCTATCCCTCCTCTGATGCCCTGCTTAAACTTTTCAGGCTGGGAATTGGGATAAAGGAAAGCCATACCATGAGTTTAAAAAAATGTGGAAATCTGAAATATCCATGTGTTCCATGGCTGGTTCTATATACATGCAAAGCCTATCAGCTTTGCAAACTCAACCTGCCTTTCCCTGATGATGTTAAAAATACATTTCCCAAAAAACCCTAGCCCACTATAGATAGCACTAAATATAGGCTTTAATTCAAGATTTTGCTAGCACCTCCTGGTTATTATGAATACAAGAATCTGAACAGCTTGCAGATAGACTTTAGAGGTTTTGTCTCCTCTAAAAATAAAATGATTGTCAGACACAACCATATTAAAAGCCATAAATATCCAAAATCTTCATTCTGCAAGTAAATTGCACCTCACTGCAGAAAGGAATACAGCACTCTTTTGGCAAGAGTAGGATTTAGAAAGTGAAGTACTATTTCTTAATTTGGAAGGACTATAAAGTCTTTTGTTACAGCAGGCTGAGACACAACCCAAGAGCTGAATAACCAGAAGATGAAGAAAGCTCTGAAGATCAACTCTCCCAGATACTATTTCCTGGTCAGTGTCATTCAGCACTGGAAGAGAAGGGATAAATCCACTCAGCAATCCCATCTCTGCAGCTGCTCCCACAATAAACCAATCTCAAGCTAAAAGTCACTATGGGCATCACCTGCAATTTCTCCACAGACACAGATAAAAAAGGGAACTTTGCTGGATCTTCCTCTTGTGCAGAGGCACTTGGAGCAGCACTAAAGCCAAACCCCAAAGCTGTGGGAGGATCTGAGCTATGCCCCAGCTATCAGGCAGCAGATCTGCAAACCCAACCCCTGGCATGCGCACACCCAGGAAAATCAGCAATCCTGCGCTTCCAGTCGGACCCACCGCAGGGAGAGGCTCCCGCCTTCCCACATGGAGCAGCTATGGCACAGGAACCCCAAAAACCCTGACAGCACCCTACCCATGTGGGCCACTCCAAACAGCAGCACACTCTGCCACTTTGTGGCACTGGGAGAGTTTGGATCCGAGTCCAGGACTCGGAGGAACAACCTCAACGCCTGCTCCAGGGAAACATCTGCAGCAATGCTGGAGTTTGAGCACACAGCCCCTTACAGAGCCCCAAAAGTAAACACAGCATCCCATCAGCCTGGCACCTCATCCTGTGGGACACACAGCTTTTGCCAAGGCTGACAAGCCTGTAACAATCTCATTTGCACACTTCTGGCAATCCTAATTCCCCCAGAGAATGGCCTCACAAACCCAACTGGGGTCTGTGCGGACCAGCCAGAAGCAAGCTGCAGCCTGCAAACCCTTTGGAGATAAAATTCTGAACCCTGAGGAAAAGATTAGGCTTTCTGGTCCATCAAAATAACCTCTTATTTCCCAAGCAAGCCAGCAGAGGGCACAGAAAGACTGCGATGAAAGCCTTCTGCTCTGTCACTGAGAGGGTGACACGAGCCCAAAGGCTCCGAGATGCTCCTGGTCACGGCCCTGGGACAAGCAGGGACCTCACCCCATGAAAGATCTCTCCGCCAGAAATAAACCTGGCACTTGTTTCTGGGTCCTAAAAGTATATCCAAACTGATACCTGAAATGTGAATTCAGATGCCTATTTTGCAACCTTTCCTGATGTCACTCCAAAGGAGGTATCAAATCACCCATAAACCCTCTCCGTGGACCAGCCAGTTTGGAACCCTGATGGAAGGCTGGAATTGCAAAATACATGGTATCAAGCTGTTTTCCATCTAAACACTATCTCAAGCTACTGGAAAGGCTCAAGGATAACTCCTGGGGCTATGCCTGACTTCCTGCAGCAGCAGTTTCCCTGTTGGGATGCTGTGGTGTTTTTAGAAGTTAGAGGAGGGTAATTCACTTCAGCAGAGTCATGGAATATGGAAACTCTGTCCAAAAATTCGTGAAGCCTCCATGTCATCTTTTACTCCACTTCTCATGTCTCATAATAAGAATGGCATTGTGATTCCAGAGCTGCAGCAGTGTGAATGGAGTAATGCATTTCCCAGTGACTGCTCTGACCTTAACTGTTCTTCCAATTCTTCAAAACCATTTTATCCCCACTGTTTCACAAGTTCACAGAACACATGAGAATTTGGGATGGGGTCTGAAAGCAACTATCAGGGATGTGCTTTTCTACTTTTCTGCATCTGCTTTTACTAAATCCTGCTTCAATGCCATTTCCTTTAAACCACCAGGATCAAATCCTAACAAACTACTTGCCCATACCATCACTCAGCTCCTGCCCAAAGACATTAGAATTTTAAAAGACAAGACCAGGAAAGCAAAAAACCAGGGGCATTAATTGCAGATACAACTAAACAGATTTACTTACTGACTGTGTACGATGTACAGATGAGTCCCTAAATCCCACTCCAGCATCCCTTGTGCTACACCAGCCTCAGTTTTTCACACCATCTCCCCACAGGCACTTTTATGCTTTTCTTGGGACAATGTTTAAGTTGTTTGGGAAGTGCTTTCTGCCCTACTCTGCTCACACACTGTAAAACTGCTGGGAACTTGGTCAGAGCAGCTGGCCTGGCCAAGCCACCTCGTCCTGGCATCACCTTCTCCTGCCTGTGGTTGAGCACTTCCCTTGAAATACAAATCATACAGTTAATCAGAGCAGCCTGGAGTGGAGGCAGCAGGGCCAGCAACTGTCCTGAGAAACAGGTGCCAGCAAAGACATGGACTGAGCCCTAAAACAATAAGAGGCTGGAGTTTGCTGATACTGTCACGCTCAGGCTGAAGTTACTCCTCTTCCATGTTTATTTTTAGTGAAGTGTTTCCGAGTGCCGCTCCCTGATGGGAGATAGGCGAGCAAATCCCTGGGGTATCTCAGGTCATTTGTTACTGGAGCTGCTGGCAGACTCTCCAGGGCAGAGAGCACCCCCACCTCTCATCCATCACCCACCAGAGCTGTTCCTGTCCAGGAGATCCCTCCTTCAGCCTCCCCTTGCTCTGGGTTTGGTGCCACCACCAGACCTCTGTGCATTGCCAGACCTGCAGCAGGAGCTCCTGGGGTGCAGGAGGTGTCCAGAGCCCAGGTGGGCTGTGTGCTTTCCCTGGCCCCTGCTGCAGTCCTGCCCTCCCAGCCAGAGGAAGCCACGGCAGCCCGGAGCTCGTGTGCTATTGCCACGCTCCACGGGAACTCGGGGGAGGTTTCCTGTCCGGTTATCTCAAGTACCATATTTAAGTTTCTCGGTCATGTTAGTAAGCTGCAACAGCTGAGCTGGGACTTAGGGCATCTCCTGTTCACACAGCTGAGCTGGGAGAGCGCTGGGATTGTGCCCTGGGAGCACTGGGATCAGACAGGCAGCCCCTGCCCTCCCAGCAGGGATGTGGCTGCTCTGGGATGTCCCTGGCTGGTATTTCCCTCTGCTCCACTCCATCCTTTTGTGCCTCTCTCATCTTGCTCCAGCCCAGAATATTTTCAGCTCAGTCCATGTGAAGGGATATGAAACCACAGCCCTCTCAAGTTCCTCCTAAAAATGTTTCTTCCAGAAACCCCAAGAAGTGACCAACCACTACTCACTGCTCTGGGGTGCCTGGGATTACACAGAGAGCTTCTGTAACTCTTTGTATTACACAGAAATGGAGCAAAAAAACAAAACCAGGAATACCTAACAATACTGCTGCCTGTTTTAGCTGTGAGTCAGAAGTTCAGATTTTTTCCTCCAGCATTTCTAATCTGCTGCCAATTTTCAAACACTTCCCCTCTTGGCTCAGAAGTTACTGTGACCCCTTTTCCAACAGGCAACAGTGTCACTACCTCTGGAATATCTCTTTTCTCTCCAAACCCAAAAGGAAAAGACAAAGTTTCTTCACAAATCAACCTAATTTTTCTACCTGGCACCTTGAAAAAAGAAAAAAATCCTCATTCCAGCTTCAGCTAACCAACAGGTACCCAAAAGAACCCTAAAGCTGGGCTTCACACTGGCTCCACAGGACTTCTGAGGTTTCGTAGCAATAAGCTGGACAAGCCAGATTTGTAACACCCAGAACCTAGCCAAAAGTGCAATGTCCACTTACATGTTTTGAGGATTTTAAGGGCTTTGAAGGACTTGCTTGTACCAGACAGGAACATCCTGCCACGACTGGAGCCACTAGCATTGCCCACCTCTCATTCATCACCCACCCCATCACTCCAACTCTTTAAGGTAAGAAAACATAAAGGTCAACGTGCAATTGCTGAATTGTTTGCCCACAGCACACTTAACTCTCAGTTTGCTAAAATCCCTCTTCTTAGGAGCTTCTACTTCAAATGAACCTAAATGCTGAGAAGAAAAAAACTAAAGCTAGTGTCAAGGAATACATAAACTGCTACACCCTCTTCAAGAGACACTGATACACGCAAAGGGTCTTAGGAGAAGCAGCTCTGGAGGTTTACGAGCTCAGACTCGGACCCATCCAAGAACTGTGTCTGCTGCCAGTATTCACAGAATGACTTCCTTAGCTGCAAATCTCAATGAGGGATGTGAAAAAATGCTTTCAAGTGCAAACCAGCTTTTTGAGATGTACAACAGCGTGGTCTTACTGCAAATCTTACAAAGCTGTTCCTACCTTTCCATTTTTGAGGCGTCCGGAAGAGACAATCCTCGAGACGTGCACCTGGAAGGGCCTGCACTCCGTGCTGCAGTCAAACTCTTCCACTCTGTCCATGACCTCCACAGAGTTTTGTTCCACAAATGAAGTGCTTCCCCGCTTTTTCATGCGCCCGCCAGGCTGTTCCAAACCCTGTCTTTTCACTGTGGAACACTTTAAAAAAGTCACTACAGAAAAATCCACGTCGGCAACTGCGGAACAGCCCATGTCTGCAGCATCCAGAATGTTCTCAGGAATGTCATGAGAAGGTGGCAGGTCCCTGCCCGTGACCTGACTCTTCTCCAGAGTACTGACAGTGTCTTGGATCTCTCCAGTCAGAGCTGCCTGGGGAAGGTGGATCAGAGCCTCAGGTGCTGCAGAGAAGTCACCACTGGCAGCTGGGGAATGGTCCAAGTCCACAGAACCCAGCTGATGCACAGGAAGATCAGGAGAAGGTGGCACATCCCTGCCCACAACCTGTGATATCTCTGGAGTACTGCCCAAGTCCTGAATCCCCAGCTCACCTCCTGACAAGTCCTGCAAAGGCAGCTCAGGGTTTCTCAAGTCCTGATTATCCAGTTCTGTCCTTGAAATTTCCTGAGCTGCAGCTGGAGATGGATCCATGTCTTTAGCAATCACTGGGGCACAAGCCACGTCCTCAGTATCAAGTTCAGTCAGTGATGTCTGTGGAAGGTGGGCCTGAGCCTCAGTCACTGCAGGAAAGGCACCATCAGCAGCTGGAGAACAGCCCAGGCCTGCAGCATCCAGATTACTGACAGGAAGATCAGGAGAAGGTGCCAGGTCCCTGCCCACGACCCTCTCCAGGGTACTGCCAGTGTCTTGAAACTCCAGCTCACTTGCAGACAAGTTTTGCAAAAGCAGCTCAGGATTTCTCAAGTCCTGATTATCCAGTTCTGTCTCTGAAAGCTCCTGAGCAACTGCTGGAGAGGGATCCATGTCTTTAGCAACCACTGGGGCACGAGCCACATCCCCAGAATCAAATTTAGTTGGAGATACCTGTGGAAGGTGAGTCTGCAATTCAGTTTCTGCAGAAAAGTCCCTGCTGCCAGCTGGAGAACAGCCCAGGTCCACAGTATCCAGACTATTCACAGGAAGATCATGAGAGGGTGGCAGGTCCCTGGACATGACCTGGGTCTTCTCTGGAGTAGTGCCCAAGTCCTCAATTGGCTCAGCCAAAGTTGTCTGCGGAAGTTCAGCCAGATCCTCAGAAGGGTCTTTGCTGTTCAGCTCAGTGAAAGAGCCATCTGCAAGCTCTGCCAGCTGGGACATGGATGGCTCTGGCCCAAAGGGAGAAGGTGAGGTTTCATTAAGCCTGTCATTGCCACTGTCCAGGCCAGAGGAACCAACGCCTTTGAGCCCATCTGCAGTTCTGCAGTGCTGCACGGGCTCCTTCCCCGCCAAACTCTCAAAGCTCAGGTTCTCCCACGTGCCTGAATCCGGGGACTGCAGACAGGCTCCCACCGTGCAGAAGGCCTTTGCATTCTCATTCTCAATAACCAAGCCCTCTTTGGGGGAGGCAACATCCTGCCTGCGGCCCCGGAAACTGCGCTGAGGCCTCTTCTCATCGGGGGAGAACGCCCTGGAGGAGCCCCGCAGCCGCCGAGCCGCCTCGGCCACGCTGCTTAAGAACCTCACAACGCCCCCAAAGTGAGTGGCTTTGGCAGCACCGTTTGATTTTTTCCGCTGGCTGAGATTTTCCTCACATCTCGTATCAAAGTCAAAGTAAGAAGCGGAATGATCAGTTGTATTTTCTAAGTTCTGGAAATTGGTTTCAGCCCTTTGATCTGCAAGCTTTGAATTATCTTTGCTAGCTAATGAAATTCCTTTCAGATAGCTCCAGACATCAGAGCTCCTTCCTCGCCTGCTGTCCTGTGGGAGCACAGCACACCTCTTTTGATTGTCCCCTTCTGTAATTGCAGGACTCTTAACGTGTTCAAAATTCAAAGACTCGCTCTTCCTGGCCGGTATTCTGTGGCTGTTACCATCATTATCCTCACCGTGTAATCTGCCACTGATATCCCTGAGACATTTACTTTCAGTGGTATCGAGTTCAGGAATGCTGATGTTCAGTTCTATGTCCTCAAAAGAAGAGTCCAAATCCTCGATGTACCCCGCGTAGGAGTGGCGGGAGGGCCTCCGGCCATCGCCCAGCCTCCTGACCCTGTAGACAGCTCTCTGCCCACTGCCAGGAAGCTCCTCCTCAGGGTCACACACGTCCTGCACTCTGGAGCCTCTCAAATCCACGTTCTTGGGTGTCCTGGAGGATCTTCCCTTTTTTGATGAGCGTACCCTGTCCATGAAGGATGGCTTCTTTAATTCTGAGACCTCAGAGGTAACTCCCAGCAGAATCATGGACTGGGGCCTGTCTTTATTTGTAGAGAGTCCTTTCCTTCGTCTGACGAAATTCCAGATCCGGCTGCCCTTGGTTGTCTTCTTATACCTGTGTGTTTCCTCCTGCTCGCTGGAGACTGCGTCGCCAGAGGCGCAGTGCTCAGCACCACAGGCCTCCAAGGCATCAGTGCTCCCTCCCTCCATGTTTCCTTGGAAAATCCTGTTGGCACATCCATTGGGAATGCTCATGGAAGCAGTACGCTGGAGGCCCTCTAGAACTTCCATCGCCCTGGCTCACAGGCTGGTTCCAGTAGTCACGGATGCATGGTCCTCAGATTGCTTTCTTCACAAGACTTTAAGGGAAAAGAACAAAGGAATGCAATTAGAGCAGAAAACTTTTAGAAGACACATTTCTTACAGCATCACAAGTCAAACCTTATCCCAGTGGCGGTGGTGGTTTTCCCCATTGGTTCCAGGGACGCTGAAATTCTGCTTCCAAGCATTATAAATTTTAAAGCTACTTAAATCTGCTTTAAATGACTGAACGTTTAGTGACCACAAATAAACTTCCTGCACTAATAAAGCTACCACAAAGTATGCTCAGAATGCCATGAATTACATCTTCGCATTGCATGTCACAGAGACTTGAAATTCATCAGAGTTCATGGCAGAGAAGAGAGAGGAAATTCCAATGAGTGCCCCTGCACATGTCACTGTCATCTCCACCATCCCCATCTGCCAGGATCTGGCACCATGCTCCCAGTAGCTCGGTCTCTCCAGGCAGTCATTCAAAGAAAAGTCAGGATGAGCCTTTTCCTGGAAGCAATGCAACTCTAAAATACTACAACATCAGAAAACTCATGGAATATCCAAGCCAGGTTTTTCATACAGTAGTGATAGCACCAGCATGGGAATCCCTCCTGGCATTGGTCTGCTCAATGAAAGCTGCTTGGCCACCACTCAACACTACAAAAAATGTGTTCCCCTTAAGTGAGTTCCAGTGGACAGGATTAAAAATACAGTTCCCCCATCCGGAGCAGCAATGGAAACCACTCTGAAGCAGCTGTGGGAATACAGCTGAACTCCTGCTCAGCTCCTAAAGCTTCCCTTCCATTGGAATACATCTGCCCTGTCTCAGTATTACAGCTTCCTGGGGATGGATCTGCTGGTCCTGGGTTTGCTGTCTAGAAAGCTGAACTACAAGCCAGGCACTCAACAGGGTTAAATTCCCTCAATTTCCAATCCTACTCTCAGGAGGAAGAAGAGAGAAATAGTGAGCCCCCAAGACATGGATTTGACAATGGAGAAACTCTCCACTTTCTCTCAAGCAGCAGGAGAGCCACACTAGCAATGTGAATAGGCCCCATATCTACTAAAGACATTTAAATTTGCTATTTCTTTTAAAACTAAGGTTATTCATGCAGCAGCTACTGCCCTGGGCATCTCATGACCCTTGCATTCAGTCAGTTAAGTCTGTTTCTACCTTGCCACCATGTCTGCCTCAACAAGGGATAACCCATGAGACCCCCACAGATGGCAGAGGCAGCACAGAAGCAGAGCACAGCCAGCAGAAACAACCAGCATCCCTCTTTTTCACGAACAACAGTCATCTGGCTTTCCAAGAACCCTGCCACAGGGGTTGTGCCAAGCATTTTTGGCACCAGCTGTGCTTAGGGTAGCAGAAATGAGTGTTTGCTACTGTGGTGGGCTGCCAGATGTCCACTCACTGTGCTGCCCAACCAAGGCAAGGGGGGAAATAAGGAGGAAAAAGCTGATGGGCTGCTATAAAAATACAGTGATCCCTTTCCAATCCCTGTCCGTTTGATTTACTGCCAACTGATCTGGATAATGAGAAACAAAGATAAAACTAACACAATGTCTTACCCCCACCCACCATGGCTCAACTTCCCCATCTTCTGGGGGATCTACCTCACACCAAGGAGTGCAGAAGGATGGGGAATTGGGAGAGGTACAGTTGGGACATGATTATTGTCCTTCCTTCCCACACTCATCCCAGGCTCCCACGGGGCCTTCACAGGCCCGGGTTCCTGTCAGGAGAACCTGCTCCTGTCTGGGGCCTCCACTGGTTACAATTTTTGCCAGGAATCAGCTTCACAGGGTGCGATTCCTACCAGGAAAATCTCCCTGCTCCTGCACAGAGCTTCCAGAGGTGCCATTCCTGCGTTGTGGAGCCATCACAGGTCCCACTCCTGTCAGGAGAACGTGCTGGGGGCTGCACAGGTCACAGCTCCTGCCAGGGATCACCCCCTGTTCAGCACCTCATCCTCACCATCTTCACCAGCCTCAGTGCTCACAGAGCTGCTTCTCACCCTTTTTTATCCCCCCTTCACACATCCTGGCCATTTTACCCTTTATTAATCACATGAGGTGCTGCCAGGGCTGCTGCTGGCTCTGCTCTTGGCTGTGGTGGAGATGCTGGTGGCACTGCCTGTGCCCAACACCCCATGGTGGGACAACCTAAATGTGCCCTGCCAAATACTCCCCATGGTGGCACAGCCTAAATGTGCCCTGCCAAATACTCCCCATGGTGGCACAGCCTAAATGTGCCCTGCCAAATACACCCCATGGTGGCACAGCCTAAATGTGCCCTGCCAAATACACCCCATGGTGGCACAGCCTAAATGGGCACTGCCAAATACTCCCCTTGGTGGCACAGCCTAAATGTGCCCTGCCAAATACTCCCCATGGTGGCACAGCCTAAATGGGCACTGCCAAATACTCCCCATGGTGACACTTCCTGATGGAATACAGCCAAGTACACCCCAAAATTAAACAAGCTGATACTATAGAGTCAAATACACCCCACACTCACACAGCCTAAATGTGCACTGCCAAATACATCCCAGAGCTACACAAGCACCACTGGATACAGCCAAATATACCCCACAGTTACATATCCTGATGGAATACTGCCAAATACACCCCACAGTTACATAACCTGATGGAATACTGCCAAATACACCTCACAGTGACACAGCCTAAATGGGCACTGCCAAATACACCCCACAGCTGCACAGCATCACTGGATACAGCCAAACATGCCCTACAACTTCACACCCTAAATGTACATTGCCAAATACAGCCCACAGTTGCACAACCTAAATCTTCACTACCAAATACACCCCATTAGTTATACATCCTGAATGAATACAGCCAAATACACCCCAAAATTACACCTCCTGAATGTGCTCTGCCAAAAACACCCCACAGCTGCACAGCACCACTGGATACAGCCAAACATGCCCTACAATTACACATCCTAAACACCCACTGACAGATACACCCCACAGCTCCCCAGCCCAGCCACCACTGCCCCACACCCCATGCAGTCACAGAGCTCAGTGGGTACCTCCAGTTACACCCCAGTTACCCAGCCCAAGCCCAGTGCTGATGCTCCCCACACTGCCCCACTCTGATCTGTCTCTTTACTCATCCTCTTGTTCCCAGCACCATGGAGGTTTTCAGAAAGAACCTCCTTTCCCAAGCACTTTTGGGGCCTCAGCACCACCTGCCTCCATTTAAACCCTGTAGCAGAAATTCACGTGGGAGTTGTGCTGTCATGGGTCCCTGCAGAGACCACAGAAGCTTTTGTTCCCAAAAAATCAAGGGTTGAGCAGGACAGTTCCTCCATCTGGTGCCTGAGGAGGAGACCAGCTCCTTATTTCTCAGACTGTCACTTTGGGATATGAGTTATTCCCAGACATTCCTGCTGCAACTTAAAGACTCACACATTGGAATGGGTTGGAAGGAGTGGAGGGGGAAAAAAGAGTACTTTAGTCTTTTTAAGTCGTGCAGCCAACTGGCAGCAAAAGACAGAAATCACAAACAGTCCTTGTTTTTTGTTTGTTTTCTCTTTCCAGTTTTATGTTTTATTGTTTTTGGCTGGGTGGATCCTGCATGAGGAAAGATGATTCAAAGGGAAGAGGCTTGCCTGTGAAGTCTTTGGAGGGATGCTAGCACAGAGGAGACAGGCTGTTCCTCATGTGGCAGGCAAAATAGAGCCCATAACAAGGGACAGAGCCTGCACAGCCCTCCCCAGAGAAGCAACAGAATCCAGAATCACAGGGCACATGGGTGGCTTTAAAATTAAATAAGGGGGGGTTTTATTATTTTTTTTAAACAGCTTTAAAGCAGATGTAAATTAGAGCTGCCACCATGAAGCCAGACCCAAGCACCCTTAAGCAGAGAGGAAACCCATTCTGTAACCAGCGTTTGGTTCCTCCTCTCCATCTCCCCTTCCACCACAGCCTCACCTGAACCTCTCCTTATCTCCAAAACCACCTTGTTGGTGTTTGAATTCCCCCCAGTCACACCTGCAGAACTGCACACACTGAAACTGATGCCATGAGAGGCTCCTGGAACAGAGGCTGGACAGTTAAAGGATTAAAGCAGGGATTTATTAAAAGGCCTTCACAGGATTCACCTTGGGCAGTGCAAGAGCCTGGCTGAGGCTACACCCAAGATGGACCCAAGTCAGGAGTTTTCACGCTTTTATAAGTTTTGGTCCATTTCCATTTTGGGGTTAATTGTCCAGTTACAGCTCCAGGTGATGTAGACCCAAGTCAGGAGTTTTCACACTTTTATAAGTTTTGGGCCATTTCCATTTTGGGGTTAATTATCCAGTTACAGCTCCAGGTGATGCAGTCCCATCCTCCCAGATTGCTCTCCTCCATTCCCTGTTGTTTGCACTTTTTGGGCCTGAAGCTGCAGCGGTGTCCTTGGTTGTGGGGCTGGAAAAGGATTGTTTTGTGTGACTGAACTGTGAGGAGAACTTGCCAACACTTCATATGAAGTTCAGAGTTATATCCTAATGCAGTACAGAGTCTGGAAAACATGGAAACTAAAACTCAAGGCATTAAAACCAAAGGCTGACCTTGACAGGAGCCAACTCCCAGCACAGCTTCCTCAGTGCCCACAGTCCAGCACTGCCCCTAAGCCAGCCCCAGCCCCAGGACTGGCACTGCCTCACCCAGAGCAAACCTCCCACCCGCAAGGCAAATTTCAGCCAGCTTCCTTCAGTCTTCCCTGAGCAGGAGCCAAAATCTGCTCTGCTGCAGTGCCTGCTGGAGCTGCTGAACGCAGCATCCACCGCTGCACAAACACCTGCAGCAGCTGCCTGGGGAAACCTGCACCTCCCACCCGCCAGTGCAGGGCAAAGGTGGCTTCACCAACCAAACCACATGGCTTTGGGGGCATTGGGCCCATCATGACAAAACAAAATCTGAGTATGGAGGAAAGCAGCCCCAAGAGTGTCTGATGAACCACTGCTCACCTTTCTGGGGTGCAGGGGAAAGAGGCTTTGAAGAAACTCTTTGGGAACATCTATT